AAAGTTCCCCCCCCCCCCCCTTGTAAAGGCTTTCCCCTTTTAATATTAAACACTTGCTCAGTTCTCCCAAAATACAAGTCCATGAAAGATTACCCCCACCCTTTATTCCCCTTATTTATTTATATACCCTCTAACAGTCTAACCAACTAATAGTTCTAGTTGTCTAAATGAACTATTGTGTGTTCATTTTATTCTTCCAAGCAATTACTCTTTTTAACTTTTACCATTGAATGAAAAGGCCAGAGGAAGATCAAAGAAAACATCAAGAGAAACCATTAGATTTAGGAAAGAGTTTACTCTAAATGGATTTATTGAAAACATAATTTTCACACTGCCAATAGCATTATTTGATACATGTAGCAGCAGGCCTTATTTAATGGAAAAAGACTGTTGTTGTTACTCCTGTCTCTGTCCATACAGACCTTTATTATGAAAACATAAACAAAACTTTCCTATAATTATATTAAAAAAAATATAAATAAATTCCAGATACAAACCTAACAGATCCATGAGTTTAGCCACAAGCTCATCGGTATTCTGAGGTCAAATTCCATATCTATCCTTTTTTAGCCTTTTATGTTGAGAAAGAAAGAAGAGCACTAAACCATCAATTCAAATGGTTTGACTCCAAAATTAATATTCAACTGCACCAAATGAATGTGTTCTTCCTCTTTGCTTAATGTATAAAGGCTAAACAAGAGAAGCAATGACATTTAACCACAAAACATCCATGAGCTCCGGTTGAATTAATAAATAGTGAAGCCCATTGGCATTTTGGAGGTACTCGTTGAATTTTTTCTTCTTTTCTTTTTTCCAACTTACTATTTGTGAATTTAAGGGAATTTTCTGTAGGTTATCATAACAAGGGAATTTTCTGTAGGTTATCATAACAAGGGAACTTGTGTAGCTAACACAATAAAAAGGATGGACATTAAGTAATGCAAGTAATGATGTGTGTATGTGTGAGAGAGTGCCCATGTGGAGCATTAGTTTGATTCACACCTTTTTTACAACTCCATCTCGAATCCGATCAAGAATAGCTGGTACGGCTGTCAAAAGAGTGGGCTTTAACACTGTAGCATCGCCCTTGGTTCCTTTCTTGATTTTATTAGATGTGTCAGTCAAAGTCAGAGGAGAACCATAACCAATTGCACAACCTGCAGCCAACATAACAGACTGGACAACCACAGTAATTTAGAGATAATATCATCAACTGCTTTGACAACTGAAAGTTTAAGAAGAAATAACCTCTGCTGCCATTTCAAAAACATGAGCAAGGGGCAAGTATGCCAAGTACACATCCTTGCTACCTAGATTTGGAATCACTGTCATAACAGCTGCTGTAGTGGCTACAATATTCCCATGAGTAATCATGACACCCTAATTGATAACAAAAAAGATAACACTCAATCAAATCAAAGGTAAAAACATAACTGAGCTTTCAGAGATCCTCTTAGTTCTCAATGATAGAGGATTAGAGAATGACTTAATTTGTTAGTTTACCACCTAAAACATGATGACAGTAGTGTCATACCCAGACCCATGTCAGTACTCAAGTAATGTTTATCAACTACATTATTTAATAGGCATCAGGTTGTTGAGACATTTAATAACCATGATTCTGGAGTTTGTACAAAATATTTTGCAAGCAAGGAGGAAATCACAAGTATGAATAAGAGATTATAGATACAAAGACAGAAAGTGACAACACTTGAAGAAGAAACAAACCTTTGGCAGACCAGTACTACCACTTGTGTACATGATAACTGCAATAGCATTCTTGGAAGGCAGGCTTGGCTCAACAGGACTTTCTTCCCCAAGTTTCTCAACTTCACTAAAGGATGAAATTGTCCAGCTGCCTGAACTTCCTGAGAAAGTATCTTCTTGGTTATCATCTTCAAAGTAAATAATATTTTGTATAGATGTTAGTTTTGATTTTATTGCATCCAACTTCTTCAATTGTCTGGAGTCACAGATCAGAGTAGATGTTTCGGTCTGTTCATGTTCCAAAGCTTCAAGTGAGAACATTTCCATCCCTTTTATTTTAGTTACTAAAATCATTATATATTTTCATCTATTCCCTAAAGTTATGGAAGAGATAATAATTTCCTACCTCGTTTAGTGAGTGGATCAGGGCATCCTCACCTAAAGAAGCATAAATAGTAACAACTGTTACATTCTGCCTGAAGCAACCCTGAAGTTTAGAAAGATTACCATTAAAATTTGCGAATGCAGGACAGTTTAGTTAAAAGGGTAATGGAATGACTCATGGAAATAAAGCTGATAAAGCAAATTTACCTGAAGGGCAATGAGCCATTCAGGCCGGGTATCGGAGAAAATGGCAACACGGCTATCTATATCATGGCCTAACTTAAGAAGACCAGAAGCAAATTTTGACACGCGAGCGAAAACCTCTCCATAGGTTTCCCATTCATAGTCTCCTAAATGAAGTTTCTCAAACTTCCTGCCATCACTAGATGTAACAACCTCCTTTTGTATTAGTTTTCTTGTTCCAAGAAATCGATTGTGGGTATGTTTATTACAGGATTGCTCAAATAGATGAGCCATGGTTGGGGCTCCTTTCCAAGGAACTTCAACCAACTCAGTTCTTCTAGCATTACGTACTGCATAACCTGCCTCACCACCAACATCTACAGCCACACCTCTTATTTTTCCTTTTTTCTTTCCAAAGAACAAAGCTGAAAACAAGACAGGAACAAGGATGCTTATGACTATAGCCGCCAGAGCTCCATATTCTCCATGATCTTTCCAGACAAATATGTCACTGATATTCAGACTTTTTAACCAAGAGGAACTGCCCTTTGTACCAATCATCTTTTATGTTTGGCAAGATACAGTGGTCCTTATTAAGCAAAATGCAATCTTGATTACCTACAAAAGGTGAAAGAAAGTATGGAGTTTGTTAATTCAACCATCTTTTTTGATAAATGAAGAAACTCAAGACGAAGGGAAAAACACTTTATAAAGAAAAGGGAGGATAAGGAACCCCCTCAGTCCAAAAATAAAAAATGAAACAATAAACAAAAGTATAAATTATCACAAACTGAAAAAAAACAAAGTGTGATTACGATGTTTGTGCACAGATATAGGAAACACACAATGTTGGATAGCTGAGGCATTTGTTCGACTTGAATCACTGAAAATCCTATTACACATCAGTATTGCCAGCCTATCAATAATAGAAACCAGATGGCACACATTTTTTTACAAAATAAAATCAAGAAAACCTGATGCAAATTAGTCTATACCACATAGGCAGCAGCAGCAGCACACACTTTCTATCATCCATGAGCATAAAACTGATTCTTTTTTTTTCCTCCGTAAGAAGTTTTTAATTACTTTTCACCATGATGATGTTCATTCTATAATATCTTATTTGATAATACAAAAATAGAAAATCGGTTATAATCTCACTTTGATAGTCTTATACCAAAAATTAAATAAAATAAAATTCACAGCAAATGCAACTATGCAACTTACGTCATCGATAAACAAAAAGGAATTTCAATCAGAAAAACGAAATAGAAATTAACCAAAATTTCGAGATTACAAAAAATTAAAATCAAGTGATATACAACTGCCAACTAATCACTCCCATAAAGTTTATAGTACCAGCTGCCACACTGATTAATTTTTCCTTTAAAAGAAAAAAACATGCGGATAAATGAAGTCAAACTTAAATAAAACATGACTCAATTTATTAGAGCAAAAATTTAGGGCCAAAAAAACTAATTCGACACAGTAAAACACTCTCTCACTGGGACCAATTCAATCAGTACAAGAAGCAGAAGGGGAATATAGCCCCTCTAAAAGAAAATGAAGATGAAACCCAAAAAAACAAACGATTATACCATAAAAAAGAAAAAGGAAAAAAAAGCATGATTTAGACAAGTCCAGCATCAGCCACAACATGCATAGAAGAACCACCATCAATCCCACAAGAAATTCAAGGCAAAATATCACAACCTTCACACCAAATCAATTTCATAAGTAATTACACCACAAACCAGAACTCAACACATCCATAAAAAAATTGGTAAAAAAAAAAAAGAAGATGATGCTCATCGAACGATACCTAATTTTTTGGGTACTATGAAATGCTGTGTGTGTTTGTGTCTCTATTTTAGTAAAGTGATTCTTTAGTTTAAGCAGTGCTCGACGCAGCACCGAGTATAGGCTACATAATACACTGTTCGCATCACATTTCATATACACGCTGTACGAAGGAAGGCACAAACACACGACACATGTAGCGTGACGGAGATATAATAATAAATTTTTAAATCATCACTTTCGTCTCAATTTTTCTTTTTACTATTTTATCCATTTAATTAAACAATAATTTCTTATAAATAAAAGATATATAAAATAAAAAAATATACGTAAAAAAGTATAATTATTTTTATAAATTATTAGAGACACAAATATTCCAATTCCTCTAATATATTATAAAAAATATTTATTTTTTATATATAATTTTTAATTTATTTTATTTTAAAATTTTTAAATAATAAAAAATAATATTAAAAATTAAATAAATTCATGATCTTAAAATTAAATAATTAAATATAATATCAATTGATTTAATAAATATTAATAATTTTTAAATAAATATAAAAACACATAATACTTTAATCCATTAATAATATAACAAAAGAAATTATCTTATTTTTTAAAATAACTTCATTTTTAAA